ATTTGTGAGTTGAGTAGTGAGTGTGGATAATACAATAATAAAAGTATTTTGGTTATTTTGTGCATCGAAACAGTCACATGTGCATCATTTCGATTCGGTGTCACTCGTATCAGGGGCGAGCAAATGATGCCATTCGTAACGATTGGCCTGAATGCAGCCTTTTTTAGACCATTGATGACAAATGCACAATGGTTATTCGATAATATTATGGTGACAACTGGGAGACATAATGACACAAAATGCAGCTGAAAGTTTGGTATGTAATTCCGTTTTCTCATATATCTTTTATGAGTGTGTGTGTTTTCCTCTTCACAAACCCACTTTTCAGTTAACCGGTTCAATGTTTTCTTTTATTTCAACAATGCTTGGTATGGAACATTTACAGAAAATAAAATCAGACGAAATGCAGTAGTTTTCTTCACGCTTTAGGCCACCGAATTTCAAATCAACTTCTTTTTTTTTTCGTGTTGATCGGCAATTACCTTTTTGTATCTATGTTAAGTGCGTTCATTGGAACTAAATGGTTTTACTTACTTAATTTGCAGTTTGCAATACACGCAGCGAAATTTCTATAAATGAATTTGAAAAAAAAAGTGTGCAAACTGAACAGAAACAAAACAAAAACTTTAAATCGATGGGATTCTCATGACATTGACGGCATGATATTTTATTTTATTTTGCTTGCTTTTTTTTTTGTCATGAACAATTTTAAAAAAGTGTTCTAGCATTAGAATTGAGATCCAGAATAGATTCAATGGAAAATATTAAATGACCATAATCTGTGTGAAGTTGTGTTTTTTGTGTCAGGCAGACTCAAACTCGTATACATCTAACGAAAAACATAACAAAGCAAACATAATCAGATAATATACCAGCGAAATTTATTAGCATGGCTCGAAAATTTTGCAAAAAAATAATAATGTTTTCGTATTTGGCCACGGGTTTTTTTTTGTTTCGCTTTAAATTCTCGGTGTCAATGATAAAAATCTTCGTGAGCCAAAAACACTATTAGTTCAATGAGTTTGCTAAATTAAGCTAACGAACACATCATACGCGCTTAATTCAAATAGAATTAAGAAAGAAGCAAAATATCATGTGTAGTAATAAAAAGTTGTTGAGCTCAATTGGGATAGATGAAAGAAGTTCTATCGTTACGGTTCAGTGGAATTCAAATTTTTATATATTCGTAATACCCTGATGGTGTTGCGTGTACGCGTTTACCTACATGTTTGCTTTTCTCTCTTTCGATCTTGCTCTCGACATTCTTGCGAACATCTCTAATTAAAAATGAAAAAAAAACAAATTATGTGTGTGCATGTTTTTTTCTTCTTATTCTTCTTCTTCTTCTCGCGCGTTGCTGTTTATTATTTATTATTCCCTTCATATGGTTATGTATGTGTATGGGCTGTTTTGCTTCGAATTAGAGCCGTTGATCTCTCACCACTGTGTTGTGAAAAATTTGTAGTAATATCGTTTGGCTCTCTTGCTGTTGTGTGTGCGTGTGTGCTTTTTTTCGTTGTTTCATTATTGTTTTTTTTTGTTCTGTTACTCGTCTCAAAATGTTTCTCTCTCTCTCTCTCTTATAATTCGCATGAATTGATTTTTATAGTTATTGTTGTGCGGCGGTTTTGTGCCGTATTGTTACATTCATACGACTTACTCTTTCTATAATGTTAAAATAATTGTCAGCCAAAGCACACAAGTTGATGTACACAACATTTCAATAAAAAAAAAACCATTCCGAATGGATGAAAATAAAATCAAGAGAGAAGAACAAAAAAATACTAATAATAGCTACATTTATCGAAACACAATAATTGAACGTATACGTATTCCAGTTGACCATATAAACAACTAGAAGTTTAGTGTGCAAAATAATAAAATACACACAGACGCACGGCAACGTCTATCTTTGCCGTTCTTTTTGTTTTCTTATTTTATTTCCAGTCATTTCACATGCGAATTCTTCTACATGTGATTTATAGTAACAAAAACCCTTTTTTTACTATGCCGTGATTTAACAGGCGGCTACAACTATTCTTTGCATAAATGTCTAGAGAGTTCATTTGCATAGGAAACCAATTTGGAGTTCTGATCTAGTGAATACGAATTACGAGTTTAAAAAAATACAAACAAAAAACACTTTCAATGAAATGAAAAGAAAAACCAGAATCCTTCCGTCGAATAAACAGGAAAAGTAATCAACGTTATGAACATTAAAACTCTCGATGTTTTTGAATTAAATTTTATACGAACTCATTCATGAAACGCTTTATGATCGTTGAAAATAAACACACATTTGAATAAATTCACGATCGCAAAATCAATGTTCATCAAATGAATTTGGTTTAATTAACGAATTATACGAACATATAATACGGTCATTGTTCCATGTACTCTTTTTTCATCTTATTCTTCTTCATCTTCTCCAAATATAATTTATAACATACAATTAACATTTTCTGATACCACTTGAGTGTCCATTGAATTTTCTTTTCAAGGCCAATAAATGTTTGCATTCGAATATTTTCGTGTCATTTTTGGTCTATGTTATTTTCTTGGAAATGTTTGTAGCACGAATTTCATTTGCTATGACCGGACAAAAGAGATTTAAAACCTCATTATTCGAGCAATGAGCCTGAGAGAGCGAATGAATTTAATTTCGCTTGTAATCATCATACATTTCGTCGAAAAACAGATTTCTAAAACAAGATGCCAATAGAAACTGTATGAAATTAAATAAAATTCTTTAGTAGTTCGGATAAAACCAGACATTTATTTCGTTGAAAAAAAAAATAAAGAAAAAGCCGTTTTCTCGGTGTTTAAAAGTCATTTAATTCGCTCTATTTAATTTGTGTGGTTCAAAATTTGTTAAAATTGCGTAATACATTGAAAGAGAACGCAAACAAAGTAATGGCTTCGAGCATTTTGTTGCTCAAATTCATGTATTATAATTATAGTAGGTAATTATTAATTGGTGGGAGACAATTTACTATTTAGACGGATGATGTCGTCAATTGGCATTTGACAAATGGTGTATATTAATCGTTGTTCGCCCACACGAGCATGCATATATCGATAATCGTGCGCAACAAACACTGCTACCGCCTATTATTATTGCCAATTAATTGGAATAAATACGATATCGATTGCGGCAATGCTATTGTTGTTTTATCAATAGTGTGCCACAGTGACTGGTATTCAGGGGTGTTTATTGCTGTTTCAAATATTGTATTCTAATAAACGGCTGCAAATTTGATAACAAAAAAAACATACTGAATTCTAATTAAATCGAGAATTTTTTTGCATGGAATGAAAAGGGTGAAGGAGGTTGTGATAAAAAGAGAACGAGAGACATAGATATTATGAGAGACAGGTGTGCATGGAAATGAAAAAAAAAGTGTGCAATTTTCCTTTAACAAGAGTGAACAATACAGCAGCACCCACATCCGTTCTAATACATTTCATTCAGTTGATTGGTTTCATCGTTGTTATCATTGTCGTCGGATGCAAATTTGTGCAAACTCATTGGTATGAAAAGAAAGGCAATTTTGCTCATGAAACATAATTATGCAACATCCTTCACTGAAGCATATAGGACATCCAAAGATCGTGTATAAGTATGTGTATCATATAAAGTGGATTTTCATCCATGTTCATGGCATTGCATAAGTTTTTCGTTGGATAAAAGTCATCATTTAAATTGCGAAACACTTCAAATTTCGATACGCATAATAAAATAATTTTCAACTCTCTCATAACATCGCATAACATACTCCCAATGAAAATACACGAATAAGATAAGTTGGATAGCAGCGAAAACAAAAGAGTCCAACATTTGGGAGAGGTGAATGGGAAATGTAATTCGAATTCGGCGGCATAATATAGGAACAAAAAAAAAGAGAAAAAAAGACGCAGAAACAGCAAAACAAAACAATAATTGCGTATATAAAAATGATGGCGGTGATCACGCGTGCGTGTCACCCTAGCATTTAAACCTTAGCCAAGCCAAGAAGTGTTCATTCAATTGCAACATTTTCATTTCATCCTCAGCCGAATGGTGTATATCAAATAAGAGAGATATATGCTTTGAATACATTGCACACATAAAGTACCTACGCAAATTAGCGACTGGACGAATAGAAAACTGTCGAACCATGACGATTTTCTTTATAAACAGTTGAATTTAATTTGGTTATTGTTTTCCATTCTTTCTTTCGATTTTGTTTTTTTTTTTTATTTAGTTAGTTTAGCATTGTAGTTTTTTACTTGATATTATTCACGATGGCCACTGAATCAATAACATATGCGATATAAACAAAGGTGTAATAATTCATTCAACGAAGAGAGGGAAAATATAAGTTTTGTACTTTTTAAACCGAATCTTCTTCTTTATCTTCAGAACATAATTTGCGCCCGCCGTTGAATGCATTCAAATAAAGTGATAAAAGTCAAGTGCAGCCCACTATTGGCGAGAGATATCAACGAATTGAAAACCATTTTTCACAATTACAGTGTACGTCGATGCATGTAGATGTGTTTGCGGAACCGTTTCATGCCGTCGACATCAAGTTGAATATAAAAGAAAATTTTTATTCTGACAGTTCAAACAAAATACTACTATCAAACACATAGAGCCATTGAAATCGATGACAATGTCACGGTATTAGTATAGTAATAGTACACATCTGTCAATGCAAACACATGCAAGCGCTCACTGTTGAATTCATACAGATTCCGTTGATAGTCCATCGAAGTCAACGTTAACTGTGGCGGTGTGCGTGTGCGTGTGTCTGTGTATGTGTGTGCATGCATGTGAACGCGTCTTTTGTGCGTATGTTTGAGTGACAGAGAGCAGTTGATCAAAGCAATGACTTGGTTTGTTTGCTTTGAGTATTGTCAGTTGTTGTTTTGGTTTTTGTCTCGATGCTTCTGAGCGACATTTAGTCTCACTTTGCGCGCGTAATTTATTTTTCGTTTATTTCGTTTATGTTGATAAAATAAATAATATATGTTTGAGAATAAAAATCGGTGTGCGTATTTTGAATCGGTTATTTCATTTAAATGTTCGTACACGTATCAGTTTTGTCATTCAGCCACAGTCACATTGAGTTTTATGCTATTGCTGTGCATTTTTTTTTGTTCTTACTGTGATAATAATTGTAATGTGTACAAATTGAAGGAAAGTAACAAAATGTGGAGTGACATTTGAACTGTCATACGGTTGCAGCTGTGAATTATACATTCGATTTTAACATTGAAATGAATTCAATTTCATTTTTCGGCTGAATAGTTCAAATTGATGTAACCCTGGACTAATCAATTGTTCAAAAGTGCATGAAGAAATATGAGAATCAAAATAATTAACAGCGAATGAAATATTGATGAAGAAAAAGGAGACAAAATATAATACATTTAACACGTATGATTCAATTTTATGTTTATTTTAAGCGATAAATGCAGTTTGGATTTGATTTATTCGCACCGATTTATACTTGAAATTGTCAGTCGAATGCAATCTAATGCGCGTTTGACACATGCTCAGCACATGTGCTTTGTGTGCACTTACAACTGTATGTTTTTATTTAAACTTACAAAAAATGCTCTTTGCAAAAAAAAAGAAGTAACACTTACTCGATGTGTAAATTGAATTTTTGAAAAAAAAAAAAAAAATCATTAACATGACACCCGAATTATTACGGAAGAGTTTACGCGAATAATTATTTCAAGATTTTAGTATATAACGAATTTACGATAGAACAGTTTCATTGAATCGTCGAAATTCGAATGCGACGTTTTTTTTATCGATTTTCAAAAGATTCGTCTAGTTTCGAAAAAAATAACCAAAAAATACTCTGTATATAAATAAGGAGTTGAATATGAAACTTTTAATAAGATTTATGGCATACTTTTCATTTTATTTGATTCTACTTGATTTGTGTTATATTTTTAAAATTATCAGCTCCTTAAACGACCACAGTCAATCTCTGTCCCCCTTTATTTACTTTCTTTATCACTTTATGAAAAGTGTTTTTTTAAATGCTGTTTACACTTCATAGACACACACTGATTGTGAAATAACACATTTGCAAATGCAGTAGCCATACAGAAACTTGGCCGCACTTTTGAGCTATGCATTTCAGAATTTTGTGCATTAACATAACCCTATACACACACACGCACCCATCGTGTCAAATTACATAGAGAGAATGATTGGTTTTGGCAGCGGCAAAAAATGAAATTCCGAAAATAAAACGTTTTCGTCGTAAGAACGTGAATTATTGAGCCATACGCAATAAACAACAAATTGTTTCAATAAGAGAAGAAAAAAAAAGAGTAGGAATAATAAACCGACTGACTCATCGCTTTCGTGCGATTCATTCAAATGAACAAATCAGGCTTAGGAGTGGTATATGAAACGTGCTTCGAAATCGCTCTAGAGTTTGATCAATGTATGATAATCTATGATAAATGCTCGTTTTTATTTTCTATTTGTATAACACAAAAAATGAGACGTGCATGTAAATAACCGTCTCTGATTTATATCAAATAAGTGAAGACGAGACACACAATGTGCCACAAAAATGTATAATGTGCCAGAATAATAAGCAAATTTGAAATTCCGATGGAAACTCATTTTTGGAACGGATTCAATTTGGATGAAGAAGAAAAACCTTGGAAAGAACTTCTTTCGCCTTGAGATTTCTTTCATTTCTTTTTTACCCATAACTATCCAAAATCTTTTACTTCGAATTTGACTTTATTAAAAAAATTCATCAAATAATCGAAATGTTCTTCATTCATATTACAAAAGAATTCGAAGCTTTTGCCTGCAGTAAAATGTTTTCTTTGGCTATTTTTTCTCATTAAATTAGAACACAGACGGCTATTTTTATGTGCCATTTCTTTTGATCATAATGGTTGATCAATGCTCTTTTGTTGAAATGTTGAATAAATGACAGTGTTCTTTCAAGATTCAAGATGGGACACCATTTTCAGACCATTTGAGTTGCGTTTGATCTGTCAAATGTCTAGGCATTGGCACAATATGCGGACATTCCGTTGAGCCATTGCAATGTGCGCGTACATTCTCAAGTGACACCAATCATTTATTTTCGGCGTAGTTCAGTCCAACTAGAAACATAATTGCATTATGAAATACAATTAAGGCGAGCGAGAGATAAAAAAAGAGAAAATCTCTTTGTTTGTTATTGTTGGCATGTAGGGCCATTCGATGTCACGGTTGAGAGAGATATTTTTTTTTTCTGAATAGTCATACAGCAAAATTACTATATAGTTTAAATTCAACAAAATTTAAACAATATTTACATCATATTTATATGATATATATATATTTTTCTATCGTTTTTGTTTTGTTTTTATTTATCAAACGCATCAACGACTAAAATGTCGGTCAGTGTTCAGATGAATACCAGCTACTATTTTGAAAATTCCATGAAAAATCGTACAAAATAAATAATAATGTAAACAAAAGTTGAAATTGTGATATTTTGTAAAAAAAGAAGAATTGAAGTATCCATGTAATTACTGATTTTGTATGGTTATAGTCATACATCGAAAAGTATGATAATCACATTTTCCTGTGTAATGAAATCCATGGCCAAATGGCCCCCGCATCGTTTAATGTGCAATATGAACATGTAACCATAAAATATTAGATTAAAATGCGCACAACGACATAATTTACAGAAATGCAAAGCGCTGAATACAAATGCAATGTCTCTCCCCCTCTCTCTTTCAACCCAAAGTAAAAATTTGCATAAAAAAATTCGTTAATTTTCTTTAAAAGCCCTTCATTCACCGCCATTAAAATTCCAATAAACCTAAATTATTCGCTAATGCATTGCTGCCGCATATTTTATGCGCACGAGAATAAAACAAGACCAACAAAAATGAAAGTTACAACCACAAATAATTGCATTTAAATGAATTTTTTTTTTCCTCAAAAACAAAAACAAAAACCTGGGTATGCACATTCACCCTGTCGCCATTTGATGCAATATCATTCGATTTATTGAACACTTGCCATAATATGTACGCATATGCATCGTGCAAATATATTCATCGTGCACATGAAAATGAGTCATTTAACATTCAAAATATTCGAATCGAAATTATGGGAATGACACGGACACGATATTGTATGTATGCTTACATTTGTTGGGTCGTTTGGTCGGTCCAGATGTCAGACAACCCACATAAAACCGCATGCAATACGCATAACAATGTAAGTTGCTCATGGATTACGGTCCTTTTATCTGTTTGTGACAAACAACTGAAATGACAATTGAACAAAATCGAACACACTTTGACCGCAATCATTTATCTCGTTTGCCATCTCACTCTGTTCACTCCCGGCTGCATGAATAAAACATTCGATTGCATATGACAGTCCTTTAAATATATGGTTCGTTGAACATTTCTTTATGATCGTTGAACTCTATATCGAAATTCATGCCAATCGAAATGTCAGTATGGAAATGAACATTGTTCGATACGATTAGACTCATTTAATAGTAAAATTATGGCGCCGTAATTTTATTCATAAAAGGAGTTTTATTATTCACCGCTATTGTTGATGTTTCTGACACTTTTTCCTTTTCTGCATTCGACATTGTTATTGGAATTGCAAAATGCAGCACAAAAACAAACAAAAAAAATCATTGCATCGATATTATGTATCGACCATTTTCTTTACATTTTGATAAAAGTGACAATGAATCGATATTCCTTTCAATCATAAACACAAATCATAATGAACAGTGCAAATTGAAAATCCCAATCACAATACACAGGTGCTTCATCATTACAGTTGCATTTCCAAGAGATTTCATGCGAAATGTGTACGTCAAACCAAGTGGCACGAACACTTCTGCTCTCACCACATCAATCAATGTAGGTTAATTCGCTGCTCAAGTTTTGCCATGAAAATATAATTTTTGCACACACTCAGCATAGGTATGTGTGTGAGTGTGAGTGTATATCGGTATGTAATTGATCGTCACCGCCATCGATTCACTGAATACAGGCGTTTCGAAATTTTAAAATCGATAATAAAAAGTTTATGTGCAGAAAAACAAAAAGTAATGAGCAATAAAACGAAAGAAAATCGAATCAAAATCCAATCAAAATCGCTGCTCACAAAATTGAATTGGTTGCATTTCATTGTTATATCCCATGTGGATATGTTACCAGCTTGCATAAAAGCGGCAACAACGAAACACAACACATTACCATACACAAAGTGATTGCCAGGTGTTTCATTCGAATACGAAATGGAGCATTGCACGCAGGTGTCACTATTCACAAACAAGGATAATCAAAGGTTCATATTTAATCTGCATTAATGCAAAAAAAAGAGAGAATTAATCGAATCGATAGCTGTTTTCAGTGGCATGCTCAGTGACACAGTCGCGTTTTTTTTCTCTTGTGTGCCGTGAACTTTTTCTGCAACATGATTGGTGAAAGCAATTAATTTAACGGAATGAAAGTTCCGTTTGTCTAATCAACAAGATTTATGCTCACACCAATTAGCTTATTATCACAAAGCGTTCGCCAATCGTTCGATATCAAACTATGCTACAAGAGATTAATTGAATTTCGCCATCGGACCTGGACAGAATGTTACAACTTGCAATGATAGTGGTACGAGCGTTAGCCCAACTGCAGTTATAATTGGAGATACATACACGACCAGTATCACACTCATACTTAAATTGCCAACGGCCAACTTTGTTTTAATTTTCTCTTTTGGTGTCTGCTCTCTCTCTGTCTGTCTCACTTTTTTTTATTTTGCGGCCGCCCAATCTCTCGTCAAGCTAGTTCGGTCGGTGTGTCGCTTTACAATAGATATTTATTTATACATGTATACCTGGTAGGTGCTTGACAACATCGCATCTTATTGAATTGAAACGCGTTATATCTCTCACTTGATTCGATCCACTTTCGCAGTTGGTATTTATTCTAAATTACATACTTTTCGCATCCGATCATTGGCATGAACAACACAGCCAAAATACACGTATACTCACATACATGCATTTGAACAATGCGCGCACGACACTATGCCATCATTTTACAAATACCACAATTACAGCGACGCAAAATTGTAAACAAGAAACGAAAACAAACGAAGGCCTAGCTGCGAACAAATGATAAAAAGGCAAGCCACCAACAAAAAAAAAACATCATAAAAAGGCGAAAGAGCGAACAAGAGAGAGAGAGGGAATGTGAGGAAAATCACTGCAAAAAATCCATCTATAAATAGATCAATAAGTGCGTTTAAACTCTATTGTAGCAACCGAATGACTTTCATTCAAATCAATTGATATGCATTCTTGACTAACTAACGGAAATCAAATCAACGTTTTTTTCACCACATCATAAACACCGTATTGATAA